AATTGTTCACAAATAGGGAAACCCATTGCTTGCCCAAGAATAGATCCCAAGAAATGCATCAAAGGGTGCTTGTGTAAAGAAAACTACGTCAGAGCTGATAATGGAACGTGTATACCAAAAACCGACTGTCGTGAGTACTTACAGTTATTAGTAAATATTTCATAATTTAGTTAGAACTGTTCATCCTCATTGTTTTTCTATTCCCTATTCCTCTTGTATGTATGTTAGTATGACTGGTCTCCATTTAGACAGGCTTCGGATAGTACAGTCTTACTTTTTTTGAAGCCAATTTCTATGTTATTGTCGGACATAGTTAGCCAACGTCGTAACGTAGATTAAAGATAGACCTATATAGTTAGTTCAGTGAGATTAAATAATACGTCAAGAGTTTATGACTCAGCTGTCTAATTATTATGATATTTTCAAACTAAAGAGTCAATTCATAGCTTAGCAATTACAGCTGACACGCATGGATACCAAAATCCAAATTAAATCTTATATCTCAAAGTGTGTTTTTTGGTTTGTATGGATTTTTGTAACTGCGAACATCGGGTGGATGCATAAACTTGTCTATAAATCTCAACTAGTAAAATAAAGGCCAATTTACCGCGAATTATCTTATTGAATCTCTTATTATGAATTTTCAAGCATCCTGCGGTGGAGACAGCAACGCTCGTTCCGGCTGCGGCGTGAACTGTAACAAACGGTGTAGCGATATCGGAAAAGAGCCAGGAGCATGTATTTTAATTTGCTATGACAATGCTTGCGATTGCAAAGACGGATTTTACCTAAACGAGAATACAGGGAAATGCGTAAAACCAAACCAGTGCCGTGAGTATTTTGAGACGTAGATTGTAGTTCAGAAAATATACAATAAACTAGAAAAAAAAGGATAAAAAATATCGATTACTTGAAACTATTAACGCTTTGATGGTACTATGACAAAAACCTTCCTGAAGTCCCAACTATTGGAATTTCCTTTTCCTTATTCCTTCCTCGACTGCCTTATTCAGATTTTCTCCTATTCATGCCATCTTTTGATAAAATAAAAACAAAGAAAAAACAAATCAAAAGCGGTATAAAACTGAAATAAAATGCCGGTTTTTAAAACGAAAATCTGTGAATATTGTTAATCAATCTGCATATAAAACTCTCGCGATTGTGAAAATTTAATAAGTATCAAAGATCTTCGGAGTGTGTTAACAAGTTTATCTTTTTATCAGCTCCAAGCAGTTAGGAAAAAACTACCATGCAGACTTTTAATATATTATACATACGTAAACCAACATAAAAAGAAGTTTTCTTTACTTACTTTCTACTTTACTTCTTACCTAAAAGAGAAATCACTTGCAAGTTACCAAACGCGGCGACTTACGACTGTTTTTGAGTAAAATCGAACCTGATATCAACAAACTTATTAAATATCATCAAATTCATCCATCTCATTAGATTAGTATAAAAACGAAAACTGATTACATATTGATATTGTTTATTTTAATTTGATTAAAATGTATTTTTAATATTATAAAGTTGTGTTTTATTTGCTCTCACTGGTAAAAATTTCTAGTTTAGAATGTAAGTTTAAACATGAGAACAGACTAATATAACTAAATTAATTAAAGTAATGAAATTGTGGTTTTTAAGTTTTAGGGATGTATAAAAAATGGGGGGAGCTGAAAAATAATTGATTTTCAAAGAGGGCGGTAAAAGAAATAAGTTTGATAATCACTGGCTTACAGAATAAATGAATTAAAAATAAATGAAGTAGACCTCAATATTTAACCTCAACTATATACCTAACTATATAACTATAACTCAATATTTAATATTTACCTCAATATTTAATAGTGTACATAAATATAATATATATGAAATTGAAGTGTATTATTATTTATATACACATCTGTTAATAACGAATGTATAGGATTTATATTAGTAGAAATTTGTGTAAGAAGTAAAGATTTATAAAAATAAATTTAGACTTATAAAATTTAAAGTGATCATCTACATCTTCTAATACTTCTACATCTTCTGTTACTAGATTGACTTATTTTAAAACAAATAATTATAACTTTTCAGTATGGTATTTGTCGGAAATTTATTTCTATATTATTTTCTGTAAAAGACAAAAAACGCAAATTCACAAATTTATTGGTAACCGATTTTTTATTGTAGAAACGTGATAAATATTACTTCATTTTTCTCTATACACCTTGTTTCTCGCTACACCCAGAAATACTAACAACGCAATACTAGAAATAAAAAAAAAAATTAAACTAATCACGTTCACAATTTATGTCACGAAACAAAACTAAAGATATAATGATTTTTTTTCTTAGCTCCTACTTGTGGAAAAGATGAAGTCTACAATGATTGTATACAAGGGTACTGCCAACCAAAGAATTGTTCGGAAATAGGGAAACCCGTTGCTTGCCCAAGAATAGATCCCAAGAATTGCATCAAAGGGTGCTTGTGTAAAGAAAACTACGTCAGAGCTTTTTTTTTTATTTTTTTTTATGATTGAGAGATTACTGCTGGCCCCGAGGCCTTTCCAGCTTCACCAGGACAGGTGGGCGAGCAAAGGCTCAGCCAGGAGGGGTGGGATTTGCTAACAACTGCCCGAGCGCCTCCGAAGGAGACCTAACAACTCAAGAGCAGTTGCTTCGCAAATGAATCTACTACCGGATCGGAATCGCGACCCACTGAGAAGATCCGGCGAGAAACTCAGCGGGCTGATGCATGGGTTAGGCTGCACGTCGATCTCTTTGTCGAGTTCGACGAGTACGGTTACCGGGGTTCCTCAGCCTGCTCCTAGTGTTAGAGCTGAAGGTATCTAATGCAAGAGTTATTGGATCTGATGGATCCGTAAGGACGTGTCTAGGGCGACGACGGTGACTTGCTCCTGCGTGATCAGGATTCGGGGAGTAGTCAGCGGTGGCAACGATAAGGCGATTATCATGACGCATAGCCTTATCGAAGTAACGTTCCAACACTGACTTCATGTGTTTGCGGATCGATTCGAGGCCCAGGTCGTCGTGTAGGTCGACGTTCCTCACGAACCACGGAGCCCCGACGGCTAACCTGCAAAAGCGGGATTGTAGGGATTGGAGGGTGTTTATGTGTGTGCGGGCCGCGTGAGCGAACACCACACTCGCGTAAGTCATGACGGGCCTTATGCAAGTTTTGTAAAGTGTCACCTTGTTCCGAAGGGACATTTTACTCCGCTTACAGATCATGGGATAGAGTCTGCCGAGAATAAATGCGGCACGATCGCGGACTGTTTTTATATGCGGGCGGAATGTC